AAGCCAAAAACTGTAAAGTTCATAGAAGAAAAAATACCATCGACACTAGAGGCCCTAATACACAGCATTAACAGGATACAAACCATAACCAACAGCACACAAACTCCAGAAGACAGGCTAGATAACTAGGATCTTCTAAAAATCAAACACTTATGCTTATCAAGACTTCACCAAAAGAGTAGAAAGAGAACCTGCAGACTGGGAAAAAATTTTTGGACATTACAAGTCAGACAAAGGTCTAATCTCTATAATCTACAAGAAAATCCAACACCTCTGCAACAAAAAGACAAGTAATCCAAATAAAAATTGGGCGAAGGAACAAACTATGGTACATACACACAGTGGAGTACTACGCAACGATAAAGAACAATGGTGAATCTGTGAAACATCTCATAACATGGATGAAACTGGAGGAACTTATGCTGAGTGAAATAAGTCAGTCACAAAAGGACAAATATTGTATGAGACCTCTATTGTAAAAACTCATGTAAAAGTTTACACACAAAAAGTAACAATCTTGTTGGTTACGAGGGTTGGGAGGGGTGGGGGGGAAATAGTAAATAGGCAATAGATAAGTGGTATCTTGGGTGAAGGGTGAGACAGTACACAATACTGGGGAAGCCACCACAACTTGTACAAGGAAAGGTCATGGAAGCTCCATAGACACATCCAAACTCCCTGGGCACTGAATTGCTGGGCGGAGAGCTGTGGGGACCTTGGTCTCAGGGAACATCTAACTCATTTGGCATAACAGTTTATAAAGACAATGTTCTACATTCTACCTTGGTGAGTAGCGTCTGTGGTCTTAAAAGCCTGTGAGCAGCCATCTAAGTAAGATACTCCACTGGTCTCACCCCTTCGGGAGCAAGGGAGAATGAAGAGAACAGGATACAAGGAAAAGATTAGTCCAAAGGACTTATGGACCACAGCTACCAAGGCCTCCACCAGACTGAGTCCAGTACAGCTAGATGGTGCCTGGCTACCACCGGTGACTGCTCTGACCGGGATCACAACAGAGGGTCCTGGATAGAGCTGGAGAAAAATGTAGAACAAAATTGTAACTCACAACAAAAAGACCAGATTTACTGGCCTGACAGAGACTGGAGAAACCCTGAGAGTATGGCCCCCAGACACCCTTTTAGCTCAGTAATGAAGTCACTTCCTAGGTTCACCATCCAGCCAAAGGTTAGACAGCCCCATAAAACAGAATGAGACTAATGGGGCACAACAGTCCAGGGACAAGGACTAGAAGGCAGGAGGGGACAGGAAAGCTGGTAATAGGAAACCCAAGGCTTAGAAGGGACAGTGTTGACATGTTGTGGGGTTGTTAACCATTGTCATAAAACAATACGTGTACTGTTTAATGAGAAACTATTTGTTCTGTAAACCTTCATCTAAAGTACAACTAAAAAAAAAAAAAAGAATGAAAAGGTATTAGTCTTCATGCAAATGCAGATTGCAACCACAATGGTCTTCTACACACCCACTAGAGCCTATGAGTCCAGGACGGACCACGCTAAGTGCTGGTGAAGATGTGGCACAACCGGCGCTCTCATACACTGCTGGCAGGGATGTACAGTGGAAGCACCACTTTGGAAATTGGTCAGGCAGTTCTCACAAAGTTAAGCGTACATTTATCCTAAGACCCAGCAAGTCCAATCCTAAGTATTTACCCAAGAGAAAGCAAAACATAGGTCCACAAAAAACCTTGTACAAGAATGTTCATAGGAGCTTTGGTAATAATAGTCAAAACCCAGAAACAACCCAAATGTGAAAGTCCAGCAACAAGAGAATGGATAAACAAATTGTGGTCTATTCATAGAATCAAATTCTACTCAGCAATAAAAAAGAATGAACTATTGATATACCCAACATCTGAAACCTCAAAAACACGTTGGGTAAAAGAAACCAGACCAAAATAGTACATACTGTATAATTTATATGGAATTTTAGGACACGCAAAACTAATCTATGGTGACAGAAATCAGAGCAGTGCTTGCCTCTGGGAGGTGGTGCAGGATGGACTGGAAGGATCACAAGGGATCTTGGTGGAGTGGTAGAAATGTTTGTATCTTGATAAAGATGTGGGTTACACGAAGCCAACTCTTCAGACAAAGATTAGACTGGGCTATAAAGCATAAAATAATACTCGTGAAGAGTATGCTTCTTAGTTCAAGTAGATACACGAGACTAAATGGGCAGCTCCTATCCAGAGGTGGGATAAGAAGGCAGAAAGGAATAGGAGCTGGTTGAATGGACACAGGAAACCCAGGGTGGAAAGAGGGAGTGTGCTGTCACATTATAGGGACTGCAACTAGGGTCACATAACAATATGTGTATAAATTTTTGTATGAGAAATTAACTTGAGCTGTAAACTTTCACCTAAAGCACAATAAAAAAATTTTTTTAAAAATGTGGGTCACATGGGCATACACACTTATCAACTCATCACCCTGTGTACTTAAGATCCGGATCCTTTGCTGTATTTAAGTCAAACCTCAATTTTCCCAAAAAAGTAATTTATACCAATTACTAGCACTCCTCAGGCCCTCCTGCTGTTCTCTTTTTACATGTTAGGAATAGTTTAGCCCAACTTTATTACTTTTAGAAGGAAATTTATTAAACTGTGATTTCTATAGAAAGTAACCTATCACTTACCATTTAATGGTAATCATTTAATAAGTTTAATGATACAACCTGTGGTTTTTGGCAGCAAGTGTTATCATTCATGCTTAACCAAAGCAGTTTGTGACTCTAGTTTCATTCCTGTTTCACCTACTCCCATCCCATACCACTGACAATACACACTACCTTCATATCAACCACAACTCTCACCTCCATAGATATACCACCTAAGATATAACCATGCCCTCAGAAGTACATATACATGCGTACTGTAATCAACCAGTGGCCTTCCACATCCCTGTTAATTTCTAACCACAGATATCCATTATACAGCTTTCTATGCCATTCTTGTCTGTGATATCACACACGTATATTTCAGGGTGGGGGAGAGAGTAGATGAATGGGTATTTGTAGAATGAAGACTTGAAAGTTGCCCTCGATTCAGAAGAGCTGAGTACGAGCCTTGACTCAGCCATTTGACCATGTTACTTAAGCTCTTTAAGAACAAGGTTGTTGGGAGAATTAAGTACAATGAATGATATCAGTTAAACTTTTTGGTCTCAGGCCCCCTTTATATCCTTAAGAATTATTGTGGACCCCAAAGAGCTTTTGTTTATATGGATTATATCTAGCGGTAGTTATATGAGAAATTACAACTAAGACATTTTTGAAATGTTTATTAATTTATTTTTATATCACAATAATGAACTCATATGTTAATAATGAACTTATATGTTAATGAAATAGTACGTTTTTATGAAAAAATAACCAAATTTTCCACACACAAAAATTTAGTGAGTAGGGTGGCACCATTTTACGTTTCTGTAGAACTCTTTAATATCCAGCTTAATAGAAGGCAACTGGATTCTCCTGTCTGCTTCTGCATTCAATCTGTTGTAATGTCACACATCATGTAGCCTCTGGAAAACTCCACTGGAATGTCCTGAGAGAATGAGAGTGAACAAGGCAAATATTGTCTCAGTGCTGTTACAAAAATAGTTTTAACCTGCGGACCCCTGAAAGAACCACGGCCTTATTTAACTAAAGGGTTATACCTTCCTGATCTAATGTTGGCCTCGGTGAGTGGCTAAGGCATTTTAGAGAACAGAATTCTCTCCTAGGGGTCAGTATCACCACGCAGAACCATTTCAGTGGGAACGTTTCCCAATCAGCAGTTTTTGTAGAAGAAAGATAAAAGATGAATAGTTCAAGAATATTATACTATTATAAGTAATTCTTCAATGAGCAAAGCTCCTTGTTTATTTAAAAAAAAAAAAAAAAGAAGCAAGCCCATTGCCATCAAGTCATTTCCAACTCATAGTGGCCCTATAGGACAGAGTAGGACTACCCCATAGAGTTTCCAAAACTGTAATCTTTAGAGAGGCAGACTGTCATATCTTTCTCCCGTGGAGCTGCTGGTGGTTTGAACTGCCGATCTTTCAGTTAGCAGCCAAGTGCTTTAACCACTGCATCACCAGGCTCCTTCCTTATTTATATTTTTAAATTTTTCTTATTAAAAATTATTTCCTTAGAATTCACTTCCTTGGATGACAACATTTCAGTGCAGAGATTTTTATATTGCCAGCCTGTTTTCTGAAAGAGTCGCCCGGACTTCCTTTGCCTCCAACAGTGAATGAGTTTACAGGTCTCACCACATCCTTACCAACTTTGGTTGTTGTAACATTTTTATTATTGTTACTGATTTTTTAACTGGTTATGTGGTTTTTAGACAAATTTATTCAACAACATGTATTTATCGTCTAAGATGTCCCAGGAGTCATACTGAACAAGACACATGTCTGCCTCACGGAGCTCAAAGTTGAGTGAGATAAGTACTGGCAGTAAGAGGGGTGTCTAACCCAGTGTTGGTTGGAAGAGGAAGGGCTAAAAGGGAAGGTTCCTGGGGGAAAAAATTACATCTAAAGTGATAACTGAAAGGCAAAGTGTTTAGTTGTATATAGAAGCAAGAAAGAATATCCAAGAAGAGGCAAAAAGCATGTGAGAAGGCCCAAAACAAGACCGTACAACTTATGTATCAACTAGAGGGGAAGAAGGAAGGCTGAGGTGAACATGGGGAGACCAGACCACACCTTGGGATACTGAGACCTGCCTGCCTCTTCCCCAGGAGTATTGTGAGAACTCACATGTGGTAACAAGTCATTTTTATATGAAAGCCCTTTATGAATCACACAGCATAATACATACATATAAAATCATACCTATGGTGGTGGTTAGATTCTATTAAGTACAATAAAGATGAAATATTTGGACTGGTAAGAATTTTGGTAGAGTTTAGAAGTTATTTGCAAACATAGCATTTCTTTTGGTCTGATTTTTGGTGATAAAGCATGGACATCTTTTTTCCTCGGTTTCAGGGTTCAAAAAGAATTCTTCGCTCCAACGAGATCATTCTTCCAATGAGTGGACTGGTAGAAACAGAGCTCCAACTAACCTTCTCCCTTCAGGTGAGGATCTACTAGATCTTAGGTCACATATCCCATCTAGCCCCAAAAGAGCCCTCTCATCTGAAAACTGCTTTAATCCAAGAGCCATAGCCCAGTTTGGGCAGGAATGGACTATTAAAGTCACCTAGAGGTTTTATGGCTAGGCTGGAGGGCCAAAGCAGTCGTTCAGCCAGCTAAGTGTGGGTGCTGAGACGCAGATAGGCTGCTGAAAAGTACATCATGTTTCATTCGTCCTTTCTGTTTCCTTAGATAACCCAGTTAGTCACCAGCTATGCCCCACCCATCCTACCACGCTCAGCCCCATCAGCTCTCAACGATCCACAGCACACACCCCAGTGGAGTGTGCCCTCTTCGTTCTCATTTTCCACTTGCCCTGTAATCTCCATCCCTCCCCTTCTCCTTATCCCTGCTGGTGTGTCTCTCTCATCATAACTCCAGTAGCCGAAACTGAAGCCCATGGATAAAACACTTGATCAGCTGATAAGCAGAGAGGTAGTGTTCTGAACACGTGTGGACCGCAGAGCTGTAAAATGGAAGCTAGTCACCAAGCTGAGTCAGAACCTCAGACAGCAACTTAACAACTGTTCGTTTCACACCCAGATTCACCCCCACTTTACAGACGGGAGAGATTGAAGCCCAGAAAGATTATGTCCCCCACAAGCAGGACAAAAACCCACCAAGGATCTGACTGCATATTAACCACGCTTGACTCTGTTTTCTACTTGATAGTACCCTCATTTCCTTAAGCGAGATGCCAACAAGCTGCAGATCATGTTGCAAAGGAGAAAGCGTTACAAGAATCGGACCATCTTGGGCTATAAGACCCTGGCTGTGGGACTCATCAACATGGCTGAGGTGAGAGCAATGCGGTCTGCATGCTGTCGGCCTTAGAGCCCAAGAGAGCACTGGGCCCAGTCATTGGGGCTTAGCCAAGAAGTTTCCCAGCTGTGTGGCTAGTTGTTTTATTTTCTTTTTACAGATTAATTATTGTACTGGAAGTTCGGGTTATACCTCTTTTTATCAAGGGCTTGCTCCTGCACATAAAGTTTTTTCCCCTATCTTTTTAAAAAATAATTTCAAACGTACAGAAAAGTTGTAAGAATAATATAAAGAATTCCCATATATACTTCACCAGATTCTTCAGTTGCTAGCATATTATCACATTTGCCTTATTATTCTTTATCTCTCTATATATTCATGCATATAGTTTTCTTTTCTGAACCATTTGAGAGTAAATTGCAGGCATGATGCCCCATTGCACCTTAATACTGTAGTATGTTAATTTCCTAAAAATAAGGATGCTCTCCTACCTAAGCACTGAGCCACCATAAAGATCAGGAAATTCACGTTGATATGATATGACCATCTCACCCACGGTCACCTTTCAGATTTTGCTGAATGTCTCAACAGTGTCCTTTATAGACCCAGGATATAACCTAGGATTACATGTTGCATTGAGTTATCCTGTCACTCTAAACGCCTTCAATCTGGAACAGTCCCTCAGGTTTTCCTTCTCTTTCATGACCTTGACATTTTTTAAGAGTACAGGCTGGTTAATTTATTGAATGTTCCTCAGTTTGGGTTTGTGTGATGTCCCCTCAAGATTAGATTGAGGTTATGCATATTTGGCAGAGTTACTACAGAAGTAATGCCATGTTCTTCTTAGCGCAACACTGAGCAGGTGGCGCTGAATACCGATGTGTTCCGTTACTGGTGATGCTAACTTCTATCATTTGGTTAAGATGGTGGTCGGCTAGGTTCCTCCAATATAAGTTAATTAATACATATTTTGTACTTATTAATGAAAAAAATATTGTGGGGGGAAGTATTTTGAGACTATGTAACTATCTTTTTCCTCACCATATTTTCACCAACTAGCTTTAGTATCTATTAGTGATTCTTGCCTGAGTCAGTTACACCCACTCACTTATCGACATGGTTAGGTTCCAAAGACCAAGTCATTATGTGAAAACCAGCGTTATGCGAAAATGGAAGATGACCACATCAGATCACAAAGTGGAAGATGACTGCATCATTACATAACTGCCAAACCACTGAGAATCGTGGCCCAGTCGAGGTGACACATAATCGTAACCATCACAGCCAGCATTACTGTCACCTTGCACCAGATGTACATCGTTAATGCACAAAATAGTTGGATAGTAGATTTTTTACTATTGTCATAAATGCAAAATGTCGGATAACAAGATAGTCGGTAAGTGAGGAGTAGTTGTATTACTATGATGGTGGCTAAACAGTGGATTTCTAATTCTATCATTCCTACTATACTTACTAGTTGGTTTTTTGTTATAAGATAGAGTTTTTTCCTTCTATTTATTGATTCATTTATTGATTTTATTTATTGATTGATTCATTTATTTGTGTCAGTTATGGGCTTATGGATTCCTGTTTTATTCAGTGGGTTTTTAACATGTTACTATCAGTATTTATTTTGATGCCCTAATTATCTCAGGCGTGGCCAGTGGGAGCTCATTCAGGCTGACTCCTGTGTCCTTTTTGATGTGCCATCATTCTTTGTATACTTCCTTACTCAAAATATTCGAGGCTCATCTTGTACTTTCTTTGCAGGGCTTTGAACTGGTTCATTCTGGTTCGAACCCCTACTGAGAATTTGCATTTCCACCCCAGATATACTGAATCTGAATCTACATTTTAACAAGATCCCCAGGTGATTCTTATGTACAATAAATTTTGAGAACCACTGCTCTACTAGTGGTTTTCAGAATTGGTCCCTAACTAGCAGCATTCGCATTACCTGGGAACTTGTTAGAAATGCAAATTCTCAGCAGGGGTTCTGTCTTAGTTACCTAGTGTTGCTATAACAGAAATACCACAAGTGGATGGATTTAACAAAGAGAAGTTTATTTCCTTACAGTAAAGTAGGCTAAAGTCCAAATTCAGGGTGTCAGCTCGAGGGGAAGGCTTTCTCTCTCTTGGCCTTCTCATCAATGTTCCCCCGGACTGGGAGCTTCTTGGCGCAGGGACCCTTGTCCAAAGGACGCGCTCTGCTCCTGGCACTGCTTTCTTGATGGTATGAGGTCCCCAACTCTCTGCTTACTTCTCTTTCCTTTTGTCTTTTGAGAGATAAAAGGTGGTGTAGGCCACACCCCAGGGAAACTCCCTTTATGTTGGATCAGAGATGTGACCTGGGTAAGGGTGGTGGTAACAATCCCACCCTAATCCTCTTTAGCATAAAATTACAATCACAAAATGGAGGCCAACCACACAATTCTGGGAATCATGGCCTAATTCTGGGAATCATGGCCTAGCCAAATTGATATACACGTTTTTGTGGGGACACAATTCAATCCATGACAGGTTCCAACCAGAAGTAACTGATTCGAATCCCTGTTTCCCTGACCCAGCCCTGGAATGAGCTAGTCCTCCAGTGAGCCCCGGTTTCTTTTAGTGGAGAAGGATATTTAGAAACCAAATCTGGGTACTAAACCCAAAACCCAAACCTGTTGCAGACAAGCCGATTCTGACTCATAGCCGTGACCCTATAGGACAGAGTAGAACTGCCCCACAGGGTTTCTAAGGATGAAATCTTTATAGAAGCAGACTGCCATATCTTTCTCCCACAGAGCGGCTGGTGGGTTCAAACCACCAACCTTTTGGTTAGCAGCCAAGTGCTTAACCACTGCACCACCAGGGCTGCTATCTGGGTACTAAACTCATTGCCAACGAGTCGATTCTGACTCATAGCAGCCCTCTACCCATAGGACAGAGTAGAACTGCCTCCATAGGGTTTCCAAGGCTGTAAATCTTTACAGAAGCAGAGTGCCACATCTTTTTCCCACGGAGCGGCTGGTGGTTTCGAACCACCAACTTTTCGGTTAACAGCTGAGCACTCTAACCACTCTGCCACCAAGGCTCCTTATCTGCGTACTAAAACCAAAACCCATTGTCAGTGAGTCGGTTCCGACTCATAGTGACCCTATAGGACAGAGTAGAACTGCCCCATATTGATGTGAACTCATGGTCAGACAGATATACAGAGATGTGGAAATACAGACGTGTGTGCATATATGAGTGTGTATACAGGTCCCTAGGTGGCACAAACAGTTTATGCTGTAAATCCAAGGCTGTAAATCTTTACTAAGCAGACTGCCACATCTTTCTCCCACAGAGCAGCTGGTGGGTACTGCCACATCTTTCTCCTGTGGAGCAGCTGGTGGGTTTGAACCGCGGACCTTTTGATTAGCAGCCAAGTGCTTTAACCACTGCACCATCAGGGTACTAACCTGTTGCCGTTGAGTCGATTCTGACTCATAGTGACCCTATTAGGGTAAAACTGCCCCATAGAGTTTCCAAGGAGCGCCTGGTGGATTCGAACTGCTGACCTCTTTTGGTTAGCAGCCAAGCTCTTCAACCACTGGGCCACCAGGGCCCCACCAGGGTACTAGAGTGCTCATTTCCCCTGCTGTACTATCATTGTCTCTACTCCCTCTAGTGGACAAAGCTAGGAAACGGTTTGTGCTTGACGGCTAACCTAAAGGTTGGAGGTGCAGACCCACCTAGTGGTACCGTGGAAGAAAAGGCCTATCTGCTTCCGTTAAAATGACAGCCAAGAAAACTCAATGGAGCAGTTCTACTGTGTAACACATGGGGTCACCATGAATCGGTATCAACTCCATGACAGCTAACAACAACCTAACCCAACGTAACCCGTTGTCAACGTATGCATTAAAAAAAAACCATTGCCTTCAAGTCAGTTTTGACTCATGGTGTTCCCATGTGTTACAGAGTAGAACTGCTCCTTGGGTTTTCTTGGCTGTCATCTTCACAGAAGCACATTGCCAGGCCTTTCTTCTGTGGTACCGTTGGGTGGGTTTGAACCTCCAACCTTTAGGTTAACAGTTGAGCATAAACCGTTTGTGCCACCTAGGGACCTGTGTACACACTCATATATGCACACGTGTCTGTATTTCCACATCTCTGTATATCTGTCTGAACGTGAGTTCACAGCAATAACTTCAATTCCAGTCCAACACCATAGGATTTATTTTAGCCTTTCCGTATTTGTAACTCCTTTCTCTAACGATGAGAAACCAGGCTCCCATTATCCTCAATGTATTTGTTTATTTGGGCAGTTCTCCTGTACACCAGTCAGACTCCCTCAGCCCTGACAAAGGGGCCACAAATCAGTTTTTAAAAATGTTTCTGTATGTTAGTAAATTAAATAGGAAAAAAATTGTGGCTATTGTAAATAAAATGTGGGAGTAGTCCCAATCCATCTTTTTGTCCCTGGGTTTTGTTACCAGTGCGAGGGGCTGGTGGAGTGAATTAATGCCAATAACCCGTTTCTCTGGCTGTGCCCTGCCACTTTCCCATATACTGTAGCTGCTCCTCATTGCTAGATACGGGTGACCACCACCTTCAGCCCCAACCCCATCAGCCTCAAGGGCTAATTTCTCTGGGAGGACTAAAATGCAGTCCTTGAGATGAGCCATCATTTGCAGTCTCAGGCCTTGATTGTTATCTTTGAGCATTTGGCCTTGCCTAGTGACAGACACTTCTGGAGACTTTTGGAGATAGTTTTAAAGTAAGACCTTGAAGGCAATGAGATAACAATAGACATGATTTGGGAGATAATGAGAAAGAAAATATATTAGCAGAATGCCATTACCATTTATTTGCATACTCATTTGGATTTACGGAAATGGACAACTTCGTGGGCCTCTTGATAGTCAAGTGTGTCTGTCGCCACTCTTTGACCCAAGGTGATGCAGCACCCCAATGAGGGCGCTCTGGTGCTTGGCCTGCACAGCAATGTGAAGGACGTGTCCGTGCCTGTGGCAGAAATAAAGATCTACTCCCTCTCCAGCCAGCCGATCGACCATGAAGGAATCAAATCTAAGCTGTCTGGTAAGATGTGTGCAGTGCCTGAGGCCCCGTGGACCACGGAAGGCCCATTACCTGATCTCCATCTTGGGAAAGCCAAACAAGACAGTGTCTAAAATGTTCCTGGGAAAGAGAAGCTTAGAGACCCCTGAAAATAAAACGTGGCTGTGCCATGGGCCTCTCCCCTCCCCCAGCAGTGTTCCAGCCCATCAAAGTTCTTAGGCCAGATCCTCCCACTGCAAGGCTATCTTACGAAGGTGTCTGTTCCCAGATCGTTCTCCTGATATCGACAACTATTCTGAGGAGGAGGAGGAGAGCTTCTCATCAGAACAGGAAGGCAGTGATGACCCGTTGCACGGGCAGGTAACGGCCCCTCAGAGAAAGCGTCTGAGAAGCAAGTCCAGACCTTCCCGGGCTTTCCCAGCCTCATTCTACCCCCTCCCCACTTAGGACCTATTCTATGAAGATGAGGATCTCCGGAAAGTAAAAAAGACCCGGAGGAAACTAGCCTCAACCTCTGCCATCACAAGGGTAAGCCTCCCAGGTCTGGGAAATAGTGTAGCTGAGATTTTCAGTTTAGGGTAGGATAGGAGCAGTATATTCCAACTTCTTGGGGGCCTTTTGTAATCTACACATGGCCCTCCACTCGAGTTTCTGATACATCCTGCTGGAGGCCATGTCCCCACCACCATCACCTATTTAAGAATCACTGTTGTAGGATCCACTGCTACTGACAGGAGCACATTATACTCTTGAGGTTATCTTGAGTTAGAAAAAGACTGAGAACCCTACTTTAGAATTTGAAACAGATAATGCTTCCTCAGGAAACAGAACACCTCAGATACCCTTCCTCCCGTTTCTAGGTGCTTGCTGCCCACTGCATACTGTCCATCTCAGAGATGAAGCCTGTTCTCTCGAGGGGTGTCACCGTTTTTAATCATTTGTTGAGCCTACCCAGAAGTAATAGACCAGTGCTTGGAACCATGGGTTTGAGCCAGTTTAATTACATTAGCTATAGTTCCCATGTTAATGGAGCCATAACCTTGGAAATCAGATACTTTTAGATTTTATCGCCTGCATAAGATTTCCTCAGAGTCACTGTTTTTTGGTGAAATTAGTAGTCTTGGACTAAGAAGCTTAAAACCTGAATTCCTGGCTTAACTCTGACTGATTCTGGAGTTCTTGTATTAAAGTATGAGGGGGTCAGAAGTACTATGAGCTTTTTAGATAAAAAATTCACCGTATTTTCCCCAGAGGCCTCCTGACTCTCTAGAGCCCAGAGCTAGCCTAGGGATCAGCCCCCTGAGTAATTTCCCATCACCTTTGGCAGCTAAATGTCAGCCAGTCCCTCCAAATGTGTTGTCCCTGAGCCAGGCACTCTACCACGAAACAACACTCCATCTCTCCAGTCAGCCTGAGGGATCACTGGCCAACATGCAAATTCCTCAAGACCCTGACCTTGATTTCCCCATCTAGTCAGTGGCTAGAGATCACAAGAAACGGTTTTGTTGTATTTGTCTAATTCTTGACTGGCACTCCAAAATGGGCAGGGAGAGGCACGTCACTAGAGCCTTCAACACCATACCTGAAAATAAGATCAGTAACAAGAAGACAGCACTGTGCTCTGATAAGGGGAGAGGCTGTAGGATTGTCTCTCTAGTGCAGCTTGTTCTGCTTAGTTTTTCCTTTTCCTGCTCTGTAACCAAAGAACCTCTAATTTCATGCCATCGGGAGCCCCCTGGAGATTTATAAATTGCCTGTTCCTGTGGTCTTCTCTATAGCTGTAGCCTGGGGCATGACCAGAGTTCACTACTCCTACAATTATCCATGCCCTTGTTACCGGGTGGAAACCCCAGGGTCTTGCTCGGCCTGACTCGTATTGGCTAATAAATGAGAGACCGAGGTGGGAGGTAGAAAAGCACCGTTACTTCGTTGCGCAAGGAAAGGAGTCAGAGCTGCTGCTGCCAAGACTGCTCCCCGAGGGTGAGCGGGAAAAGTTACTTTTAAAGGGTTTACAAGTAGAGAGTTCATACAAGTTACATCAGCAACATTCTTAATCATACTATGCAGGCGCAGTGGAGTTTACATGTAACTTCCAAGCAAAGAAAGCAGGATTCTAATGCAGAAGCTACCAGGGCGAGCTAGGCAAAGAAAGCAGGATTCTGATGCAAAACTGCTTGAGGTAGTGGAATTTTCCACAGCCTAGGGACTCTGTCTTATCCCCAAATGTTTTAGCTGCAAGCAGTTTCCCATGGGATTTCCAGAGACTTTTTAGTTTCTACCTCATTCCGTGCACATTCATTCTTCTCTCCCTACCAAAGACACTTTGTTCTGGACACACTGATCTACTTGCTGTTCTGCAAATATGTCTTATACTTCTCTGTCACCATGAACTCAAGTTGTTTTCTCTGCTTCAAATGCCCTTTCCACCATTGAAAGCCCTGCCCTTTCTTCAAAGCCTAGCTCGGTCTTACTTGCCTGTTTGACATTTCCATGCCTGGTTGGTGAGTCTATCATTCAGGCAAGAAATACTGGTGGTCGCAAGCTAGACATTGTGCCCAGCTTGGACACCTAGAGATCAAAAGGCACAGTCCATGCCCTCAAGGAACTCAGAGTCCAGTTACACAAATATATCTGAGCAAGTAGCTACAGTTCAGTGGGATCGGTGTTCTAAGAAAGAGACCTGTATAAGGGACAGCGATGGCATTAAAGGGACAACAACCCACTCTGTCCAGGAGTGCCAGGAGAGCTTCATGGAAGAGATGCCAAGAGATGGGTTTTTAAGGATAAATAGAACTTCATCAAGTAGATTTGGAGGAAGTTTTTATTCAAGTCAGAAAGTATCAGGTGCAAAGGCCCAGAGGTGTAAAACAGCATGCATTTTTTCACAGAGCTATTAAGTAATTTCTACTTGAAGATGGGGTGTGAGGGGTTGAATAATGAGATGAGGCTGGGGAGGCAGACAGAACCAAACCAGCTCTCAGACAGGCTTACAAGCCTCACCTGTGAGCTTTGTTCTCCTGGCACTGGGAGACAAGGGAGACATAAAGGGATCAGATTTACATCTGGAAAGCTCACTCTGGACTCTGGAGGGAACAAGATTGGAAACTGGTGGGGGGTGGGGCAGAGACAGTGGGGGGCGGGGCATGGAGGTGTCAGGTGAAGACTGTTGCAGTGACAGCAGAGCCTTGCAAGGAGAAGGCCTAGAGCAGAGGAGAGGTGTTGCAGACATTAAGGAGAGGGCAGGGTCAGCAAACATGGGGATGTGGGCAGAGCACGGAGGGGAGAGACACCAGGCTTAGACATGGGTGACTGGTGCTCTCATTAATCAGGATAGGAACTGCAAGGAGACGATAGTGAGTTCTGTTGGGGAAGTGTTGAATGTGAGGTGCCTGGGGGATTTGCAGGCTGAAGTCACCAGCCAGCACTGTGACCTGAAGCGCGAGAGAGGATGAGCTGGAGAAGCGGAGTTGGGAGTCAGAGGCGTGGGTGGTTCGGGCCCTGGGGTCGCTGAGACCTCCTCCCTCTGTCTAGGCAGTGCACTGGATTAGTGTGGCCCTGCCTGTCCTTCCTGTGTCTTCTTATCACCCTGTCCTCCCACTGTTCTTAATAAAAGTGAGCTCTTAATCGATACTTGTTGGATTGATCACGGTTCACAAGTGGATGTTGTTTGCGAATAATTGTGCAATCTGTCCCTGCAGCAACCTAACATCAAACAGAAATTTGTGGCCCTCCTGAAGCGGTTTAAAGTCTCAGATGAGGTATGACCCCTTACTCCCAAGGGAAATGGTGAGTAGAATCCCCAGTTTTATCCTTTGCTCCCAAGGGCACTCTGTGTTGCCACTGGGAGTCAAGGTTCCAGGAGTACGATTCCTGCTCTACCTTGTTTGCCTGGTGGATCCCCAAGAGCTGTTAAGACGGTAGCTACAGAAGGGCTTTAAGCTACCAGAAAGGCCTTATACATAGTGCTGAAGGGCTTATAGTCTTTGGAGATGGGGTAGCACAGTTGTACCCAACCACTGGCGAATACCCAAGCCTTCGATATGGGGTATCAGTGACAAGTCTGGTTGTTGTTTTTTAAAATTTCCCCCTCATATCGCAGGGGGAACATCAGTGAGCAGTAGCCTGTGCCGTAGGAGTGTCCTCAGTGGTCAGCCCTGAGTAGCCAAGAACTGACCATTGTTAACTAGAGAATCGTGCTCTTCCTGGGGCCCCGGAAGGCCTAGCACCAGTTTACAGGCTGCTCTTCTTGGTGGACTGAAAGAGGAGCAAGGGTGGAAATTGTTGAGAGCAAGACTTCTGTGTCCTCCTGTGGGCTGTAGAAGGTAGAAGGAGCCCACACAAGGCCATGGGCTCCTGGGCTTTCTTCTGCCCGTTCCTCGAGAGAGCTGCTTCAGCACTTCAGCTTTTCTCCTCGATGCCAGGTCTGTAGTGTGGCGTGCTTGGGAGACAAACGAAACGGGGAAAGGTGGCCTCAGTACTCCCTGCTCTTGGGGTTGGATCACAGAAAGGGCATCAAGACCACCCCATTGAGTGTGACGCTACGATATGTCCCTTAAGGGAGAATCGTAAGGAAAGAGAAACAAGTTGGGTGTCTCCCATAATTGTCAATAGGAAAAACCTCAAATTCAAAGAGTTATTTCTGCCTCCAGGTGGGCTTTGGGCTGGAGCATGTATCCCGGGAGCAGATCCGGGAGGTGGAAGAGGACCTGGATGAGCTGTATGACAGTCTGGAGATGTACAACCCCAGTGACAGCGGTCCTGAAATGGAGGAGACGGAGAGCATCCTGAGCACACCAAAGCCCAAGCTCAAGTGAGCCTGCCTCCTCCATCAGACCATCTCCCCATACCTGTCCTTCCTGGGCCACCGCAGTCTCCTAAACTCTCCTCCCTCACTTTACCCTCGATCACCAGGGAGTCCCAGGTTTTCATCCTTGTTGAACCTCCTGCTGTCTGGACAAAGGTCATTGTTTTTGTCTCAAATGGAGTAGAGTCCTATCCTCCAGTCCAGGCCCTGACCTCTCCACCTTGGCCATGTCCCTCCTCATGGGCACCCTGGAGCCCAGTTGCTGGTCTTTCTTGAACACCAGCTGCACCCAGCACTCCACGTGCTGCTGTCTAAGCATGGCAGCCACTGACCTGGCTGTGCTTCTTCACCATAGGCCCTTCTTTGAGGGAATGTCGCAGTCCAGCTCACAGACGGAGATCGGCAGCCTCAACAGCAAGGGCAGCCTTGGGAAAGATACCACCAGCCCTGTGAGCAAGACCGGTGCTAGGGGGCGGGAGGGGGATTGGCAAGACCAGTGTTGTGGGAGGTGGGGGGCCTGTGGGTAAGACCAATGCTATGGGGGGGCTGTGGGCAAGACCGGTACTATGGGGGCCAGGGGA